ACCTTATCATTGTTGACGCTCACTCGAAGTGGATTGAGGTTCTCCCGATGTCTCGTACAGATGCGGAAACGACTATTTCGGCTTTCATGACAGTTTTTGGTAGGTTCGGCTTACCTGCACAGCTTGTAACAGACAATGGCCCACCATTCTCCTCTTTTCAATTTAATAACTATTGTAAAAATAATTGTATTCGGCACACTACAAGTGCTCCATATAGACCACAAGGAAATGGTGCGGCTGAGAACGCAGTGAAAATTGTAAAAAAGGCAATAAAAAGAGCGATCCAGTCGGGTGACAATATCACACAAGCGTTACAGGAATTTTTATTCTGTTATAGAAATTGTAACCATGCAACTACTAAATTGTCGCCGGCCGAATTGCTATTAGGTAGACGCTTGCGCAATCGTCTCGATGCTCTTCGTCCAAATTTAGCTGAGGTGGTTCGTTCAGCTCAAAACAGTCAGATGGTTAATACGGGAGGTAAAACTAAGGAGTTTGATATTGGAGATACAGTACTCGCGCGTGACTATTCGGCCAGAGGGCATAAGTGGACGGAGGGTACAATAATAAAAAAAACAGGACCTGTGTCGTATAAAGTTAATATGGGTAATGGGCTGATGTGGCGTAGACACCACGATCAAATTATCCCAATTAGTCACAAATCTAGATTATCATTAACAAGAGCGAATATTGTATCTTCTCAAGAAAAATCTGCATCAGCAGAAAATACTCCAAAGGACGAGGAACAATTTGAGGATGCTTCCGGTGGAATGGAAGGAGTGGAAGACGGGCGGGGGGGAGAAGGGCAGAGAGAAGAATATGAAACTGAAGTCCCTGAACCTTGGTCGCCCTCGCCACTTCCGCCGGATGCATCCGCACGAGCGGTTCGTGCCTTTAATCGAGCTTTGTGTAAAAAGTAAATTAAATACAAATAAACCTAGTTTTTACGTCATGTTACGAGGGGAAGGTGTTGGGTAGTTAAGGATTAATAATTATTGTAGTAGGTAGCTATTATATGAATAAAGAAGTCAGTCCACAGCAAACTGCCGCCTTTCATTGACGTTGCACATTTGAAAGTATTAAACATGCTTTACATCACTCTGCCCAGTAGGCACTTTGCATTATTCATAATGCCCAGGCAATGTGATAAATTGTTTGGTTATAATCACATTGCCCGCTCTTAAGGACATTCTTCATATTGTCCGGGCATTATGAATAATACCCGATTAATCACTTAGCCCATAACATATATACCATAAAGATATTTATATTTAAAAGAAATATTCCTTTATTTCAAACCACGCCTTCTACATTTATAGACAATGCAAAATGAAGTCGCTTACCGCCAACTTCTGCTAAATAAAAAACATCCAGTGAATTATAATGCAGGTTTTTATATCAATTAGATAATATTTGGTTGTTTAGTTTAGTTGGATAAGGTGTATATGTACACACAAACATTATATAAAAACCCGACTGCTTAAAAATCACCTGAAATAAAAACAGTAAAGAAAAAAACAAGGGGAGTGGTGTTGAAGACAGACTCTTTGATTGTAAATATCTATATTAACACTTGTCTATGCCACGCCGCCCTTACTCTATTCTTGTCACTCTTTTGTCTTTCTTCATTTATAACTATCTTACTTAACTCTACAACTACAACTACTACAACTCTCAAACTTAACTGAATAAAAATATTTCGCTGCGTTTCCATATTCGCACGACTTTGAAGTTTAAACAGTAAAAGACAATGGGCAAAACGCACCCAGCTCCGCCAACAATGTAATTAGTATGAATCGATAGATCTGTGAAAAACTAGCCTTTTTTATTATGACACCGAAAATAAATATCCTGGGAGTCAAAAGATATGACACTGTAAAAAATATCCTGGTACTCAAAAGATATGACACATAAGCATATTTAAGTAGCTGAATAAATTCATTTTATAATACCTTCATTTTATATTATAAGTAATTATAATAATATGCTATATCGTACTATACAACCAGATATACGACAAAGCCTGCCGACCATCCTGCGCTTGCTCTTACTGAGACATTTCAAAACGGTTTACGGATGATGAAGGACTTGCAGTTGCAAATAGTCGACTTGTCTTACTTCGTTGTGATTGTGCGCTCCCTGCTACTTGATTGATTTTTATCTAACACGCTTTGGATATTGGAACACGATTATCGGTTTTGTCAATTAGTATGGATGAACTGGAAATCATGTGTTCTCCTAAGTCGCTCCGTTTTACATAGAAGACAATTTACTATAACGAACAGAATGTTTAAAAACAAATCAGCCCATGCGGGGATGTTTGGATTTACTCTAGCGCGGCAGAATAACATAAGGGTGCACCCTTGCACCTTGTGAAGTACTCCCATAATTCCTGAGCACCCTATGTAGAGTCGAACTAACTAACTAAATTAATTCCCTTGTTTCATTAATGTTTGTTCGTTATAGTACTTGTACACATTTCACTTAAAATAACTAAAGACCCCCGGGATGGAATTTGATGCGCTTTAGCTCAGATGATCTTGACTATAATACCTTTCAAACAAATGTAGTTTAAGCCGTGGCGGACGTGGGTGCAGCGTCCATACATTTTTGCCCAATGTCCTTTGACAGTGTGTTTTGTTTTACTCATTCATGGCCGATACTTTCGTCAATAAAATAATTTGGTAATCCTATTTATAATGGAGAACCGCCTTATCGAAACACCTTATTGTATTGGTAAATAAATAAATCTAAGAATTATACGACACATTGTCTCGCAAGTGGAGCCTAAAACATTTATTGCTGAACTATTTGTCGCGTCGGAAACATCAATATCGTGGCGTAGGTCGCGCCCCGCCGTGCGTCTTCGCTCGTGACCGCGCCGCTGAGCGCTAGATTGATGTTCGACAGTAAATTACACAACGGCGCAACATCGTCGTGACGCCCGGCGCCGCGTGTCGTCGCACCGTTCACAAAGCAAGACTCATATTTAACTCTTCATGGCACCAATTGCCCATATCTGTAGTGATAATTTAATAAATGGCATCGTAATGAATGGTAGTAAATTATATTTTCTTTATTACCACGAAAACGTTGGTTTAAACGCGGGACAAACTTATTGTTCGTGGAAGAATTCCTAAATGGGGACTTCGCGGCTTTGCATTAAGCAGCGTAGAAGGTATTCGCAGGGTTTTTTAGTGGATATTATACCGTAAAGCTCCCGTAAGAGTTACGGGGTCCTCGGTGGGAAGCCACTGGGGGGTTCGTAAGACTTGCCTCTTAATGGCACCGTCGTCTGTAAACAGTATTTTTTGCCTGCGTAACAAAAAAAAAGGACAAACTTATTGTAAACTTGATTACAGTCTCTCCTCTTCACTCCCAATAGAATATGAAAAGGATAACCTGATGTACAAATGACAAATACCAAATACGAACAGCCATGTGAAGTGCCTGCATAACAGGACTTTAAGAAAAAATGACATATAAAGTCTTCCCAAACATAGTTTAAAACATTATCTTACTTTAAAAAAGCACAACCGTTACCGTAACCTCGTTATTATTAAACTAGGACTAGACTTTTCATGTTTAAAGGGTGGCAAACAAGCGTGTGACCCGCCTGTCGCAAGCGCGTGACCCGCCTGTCGCAAGCGCGTGACCCGCCTGTCGCAAGCGCGTGACCCGCCTGTCGCAAGCGCGTGACCCGCCTGTCGCAAGCGCGTGACCCGCCTGTCGCGAGAGTGTGACCCGCCTGTCGCAAGCGTGTGACCCGCCTGTCGCGAGAGTGTGACCCGCCTGTCGCAAGCGTGTGACCCACCTGTCGCAAGCGTGTGACCCGCCTGTTGCGAGCGTGTGACCCGCCTGTCGCGAGCGTGTGACCCGCCTGTCGCAAGCGTGTGACCCGCCTGTCGCAAGCGTGTGACCCGCCTGTCGCAAGCGTGTGACCCACCTGTCGCCAGCGTGTGACCCGCCTGTCGCAAGCATGTGACTCGCCTGACCTCAATCTCCTACCCCGTGGAGCCATGGACTCAAAACATTAATTTGGCTAAAGATAAAATAGCTTTATTATTTTCTTCTAAATAGTATTTTCGGCAATTTAGTTTTTTTGCTAGAACGTTTTTTACGAAGTATAACACTCTTTGTCACTATCATTGCGGGGAGAGTCGTAAAGATTCTCATAATGAAACTTGATCTATGAGAATCACTCTCAGCTTCCGGCTTCCTAAATACATTGTCAGGTGTGCGGGTGTGCCGCGCCGCTCACTCGTAAACCGCCAAAGGATAAAATTACGGAACTAAAGCTTTACCAGGATTTATATCAAAGCGCATTTCTCTTTAATGCCTGCTGGTTTTCAGGATTTTACCTTAAGGTAAAATACCCAAGATTATGTGACCCACCCTAGCTTTGCTACATTGAAGACTACAGTTTTATTTTCGAGTATGAATTGAACACATATTATAGGCATTCTATGACAAATTATCCGATTGTAATCTATATATATAAAACTCAAAGGTGATTGACTGACATAGTGATCTATCAACGCACAGCCCAAAACAATGGACGGATCGGGCTGAAATTTGGCATGCAGGTAGATTTTATGACGTAGGCATCCGCTAAGAAAGGATTTTGATCAATTCTACCCCCAAGGGGATAAAATAGGAAACGAAAGTTTGTATGAAACTTTGTCAATTTTAAACCGATCGGGCTGAGACTTTGCATGCAGGTATAAGAAGAATCATAGATGAATGTCATTGTGTATAATACAAGCCTGAGAACAAAAACTGTAGTCTACACTTCAGCTCTACACCGAAGCGAAGCGAGGGCGGGCCGCTAGTAATAGCATAAAGTTTTTGAGATCAAAAAGATAACAGAAAGTACGAAATGGCAACGCCGCGTGTAACTTTGTTTTTTAAGTTGTAGGGATGTAATAAATTAACTATTATTTTTGTTTTTTGTTATTTTTCTATGAAAGTAATAAGTAGGTAATATATTTTGTTCACAGTTTGCTATCTACAGGAGTGAAGTGTGCTTCAAACATCTGAGCCCTCTTTGCCCGCGTCCAGGATCAAGCCCGATAATCCAGAGGTATTATATTAACCTTTGATATATTAACTATAATAACAAAATATTTGTTTTTTTCTTGCATTACTTTAAAGGTTGATATTAATGTAAGATTATTTAATGTTCTTACATTATGTGAGTTGTACTTAGTAATTACTAGTGAGTTTATGACTGTTAATTGCACGACCTCTCTCGTGTTGGGTCAAAGCCGCGGCCTTCGCTTCACCATGTTACAACTACACACTACAGTACAAAACAAAATATTATTCTAAGCTAAATATTACATCAAAATTTCAAAATTGTATCACGGATCAGGCAAATATTACAATCGCCTATTAAAAGGTACGATCAGCCAATTTGATTTGTGATCTACAATAATCTTCATCATCATCATCATCAGCCTATTATTGTCCCCCACTGCTGGGGCACAGCCCTTTCCTATGGATGGAATAGGGAGATTGGGCCATCACCCACCGCGCGGGCCCAGTGCGGATTGGTGGGTGCTAACAACTGCAGATGCAGCCGGGACCAAAGGCTTAACGTGCCTTCCGAAGCACGGAGGATCTCGAAATAGTAAATTTTTGGTCACCCATCCAATGACCGACCACTGCGAAAGTTGCTTAACTTCAACGATCGCAGCCGAACGCGCTAACCACTTGCGCCATCGGGCTCCTCACAATAATCTTATTTCGTTACAACTATTTTTCAAAACAATAAGGTAGATTTTTGCTTAAATGTACGTATCCGTGGAAACATAATTGTTATTTTCTGAACAATCATATTTGACGTGACAGATTTAGCCGTCTTTTGTGTGACATAATTTTGTCATTAAACTAATTGGAGTTTTGCTCATGGACTGAGGATTTCCCTATTAGTTTACCAACGTTCAAGAAATCTAAAGAGTTTCTGCTACATTTATGATTTCCGAACTGATTTCGAAATTCAAATTACTATTCGAATTTAGCTTTTGTTCTATTGCATTAAAAATAAAGGTGTCATATATCTTTGATACATATTAACACAGTTTCGTTGTTATTAGAAGGTCCTTTCCGAACTGATTTCGAAATTCAAATAACTATTCGAATTTTATGTTTTGTTCTATTGCATTAAAAATAAAGGTGTCATAATTATATCTTTGATACAGATTAACACAGTTTCGTTGTTATTAGAAGGTCCTAAGTGTTCGAGGAGCTCGATAGCGCAGGTGGTTAGCGCGTTCGGCTGCGATCGTTGAAGTTAACCAACGTTCGCAGTGGTCAGTCATTGGATGGGTGGCCAAAAATCTTCGGTCTCAAGTTCCTCCGTGCTTCGAAAGGCACGTTGACCCGTTGGTCCCGGCTGCATCTGCAGTCGTTAGCACCCGCCAAAATGGCCCAATCTCCCTATTCCATCCATAGGGAAGGCCTGTGCCCCAGCAGTGGGGACATTAATAGGCTGGTGATGAAGTGTAATTACGTATTTTCTACAAAGAAAAACTTTTCACGCGCGGATCCGATGTGGATCTGCGCGGTTTGTCGGGCAAGTGGGTAAGGAATCAGTTGAGTCGATCGTACAGTTACGATTTTTATTACATCTAAACTAACCAATCAAGAAGTCCAAACAAAAGGTTCCGTATTATATGAGCTAGCTGAATCGATCGCTACAGAGAAAAGGCAGTTGAAATGAAATGAAAAGTCATTTATTCAGTCTAGGCTGTTACAAGTTGCACTTGTGAAGGTCAAGAAGCTACGCCATCGGTTCGCAAAACTACGGCGGGAGACCTTGTACTGAGAAGAACCGGCAAGAAACTCAGCAAGGGCTGCTTTTTTCTCCCTGTAATGATATATACAGAGTCGTCAAGTTGAAAAATGACTTCAGAGATACTTCTGAAGTCACCTTCCATTACATTATTTAGGATATAGATATATAGTTACAATAAATTTTATATTTAGTATATAGGATTAGATATCAGTAGATAGGATAGGACTGTTACAAAAACTGACTCATAGTCATACGCATCAAATAACAAATTACAAGAAACACTATGTCATATGTTTGTTATTTGAGTTGTTAGCACAAATAACAAAACTCATAACTGTAACAAGTAGACATGTATTTCTATTACCGCCATAACAGAAAATAATAAAAATAACAGGTACACTATTTATGTGGCTCCGTATATAAGGAACCTTATAAGGTTTCGCTATTTTTAGTGTTCTGTAGTCCTGACAAGGAACCCTTTATAGTTTCGTCATGTCCGTCCCCAGTTTTGCTTGGAGACGGTTAGCACTAGGGAGCTGTAATGTTGTGGAGAAATTTATAATTTTTATTATTTTAAAGCATGTAACTGCTTGATGTTTAAATCTAAAGAAAATATAACTAGAAAAAAATCCACGCGGACCAGACAGCAGACGGGACTCGAACTGCGGCCCTTCGCAATCCGGGCGAATGCACTGACCAATTAAGTTTAAAACTTGAAAAAGTATTCATTACCTACAATGCGAAGAGATGGCGCTGCCTTGCACCTTAAGGCTAGGAAAATTTCGACGCGGCCATGAGTGGCGTGGTAGCATAAATGGTCAGTGCATTCGCCCGGATTGCGAAGGGTGCGGGTTCGAGTCCCGTCCGCTGCCTGGTCCGCGTGGATTTTTTCACGTAAAACTTTTCTTTAGATTTAAACATCTAGCAGTCAAATGTAAAAATACATAAAAACAATAAAGACTTCTGTTCAAAATAAATATACTGTAGTAACTACAGGCAACTACGGAACCGTAACGACAAGTACTTGGGCGGTTTTTTAACTCTTGCTCTTGGTCGGGTTTGCTTAAGTTTTGGTGTAGGACCCCCTGGACCTTCATCGGAGCGCAGTCGAAGCGTAGTCGAAACGTAGTCGAAACGTAGTCGAAGTTGAAGTTCAACTGATAATTCGTTTCGTATTTCGCGACGAGTAATAGCCAAGCTCAACGTATAAATGGTGTGTCAATGACGAACAAATTGTTACCTTATTAAGATTTACACTTTAAATACATCTAATTCATCAGCCTATTAATGTCCCCATTGCTGGGGCACAGGCTTTTCCTATGGATGGAATAGCACTAACCACCTGCTCCATCGAGCTCCTTGTGAAACTTGATTATAAAATGAAATCAATGGAAAAGTGCTTTTGGACAAAGGAAAAGTTCTAAATGGACAGCGCAATACGAAACCACCTTTTCCGCGCTCCTATACAACTTCACTTCGACTGCTAAACCTAGCGCAATAGAACCCAAGGTAACATGTTACAATACCGCAACATAAAGGCCGCACGTATACAAAGGTGACCGCCATTCCATCAGACACGATATGTCGAAATAATATGAGCCCAATAAACGGCTTTTATGAAGAGTTGGGAGACAGAGAGAGGGTGAGAGAAAGGAGTGGGGGGTAGTGTTGCCAAACTATCGATATTAAAACTATCGACAGTTTACATCGAAAATTATGTACCCTATCGATAGGCCTATCGATAGAATCGATAGCTCAGAACAAGGCAATACTATCCAGTGAGTGCAATACTATAGATACTAACGATACTATTATAGTTCGTTAATAACAAACTATTGATAGTATCGATACTATCGATAGTGTTGATTTTATCTGCAACAATACTATCGATAGTATTGATACTAGCGATTGTTTTAGACTAAAGTTTGTGATTGACTGTAATACCTGAAAATTGTAAACAATACTATTGCAAATTGTTAAACTATCGATAGTATGGTTGCAAATAAAAGTAAGTATCGCTACTATCGATAGTTTGTTATTAACGAACTACAATATATCGATAGTATCGATAGTATTTAACTCATCCGATAGTATTGGCTTTTTCTGTGCTATCGATTGTCATACCATTGGTTGGCTATCGATAGACTATCGATTAATCATCGATAGTCGACTATCGATCGGCAACACTAGTGGGGGGCGCGTGTGCGCGTCAATCCTACTTTATTAGCGGTCGGAAGCGGTCGTGTTGTGCGATGTGCGTCGCCGAGATACCTCTAAATATAGAACAGAAAAAGCTTCATATTCAATGAAGGTAACGTTTGGTAAATTACGAAGCTTTCACGTTAAAAAGACAGCCATGACTTAGCTCCAGTGAATTTTTTCACATAGCAACATAGATGGAGAAAAAAAGGAGTGAAATTCGGAAAATTTACTGGTCGACTGATAAAATGAATATGTAAATTGAATTATAGAGAAGAAATATTACATAAAAAATATAAATATAAATAAAACTCGCCTTTATTTGTACACATTCGTAAATCTAAGTCCATAAACGACGATTGACGACCTCCGTGGCCGAGTGGTTTGTACGCCGGGTTTCATGGTGTCGCCGACTCGAGAGAGAGGTCCCGGGTTCGAGTCCCGGTGGGGGCAAATGTTTGTGTGATGAATACGAGCATTTGTACTCCAGTCATGGATGTTTGATATGTATTTCTATATAAATATACTTATATATGTACTGTATATGTATTCTATCCGTTACCCTAGTATCCCATAACACTAGCCTTACAGTGCTTTCTTTGGGTCTGGGCTGATTGGTGTGAGTGTTGGTAATATTTATTTATTTTATTTATTTATAAAAAAACTAAGAAAAGTTTTTTAAGGCGATTATTATAATTTTTTCAAGTTTGACGACGACAAACGCACTTTCGCATTGATTTAATTTAATAATCACATTGAAAAGGAAATCGTGAGGGAATCCGATAGGAAAACAAATAAAAGGGCGAACTTTACTTATTTAATTATTTATTAAGGACAGCCAACAAAACAAAAACCAAATAAAAGTACAAACTGAGAAAGAAATAAAGATAACAATTCTTAGTGCTGCCTTACTTAAAGGCTGCCACTGCATGCGTAAAAACATTACTTACGAAGTAGACTTACGATAAACAAAATAAGGGAATCTAGTGCAAACACTTCAAAAATACAAAACTAAATATTCATCATTCTCCAGACCCAAAATAGATCCAACACCAGTCCCTCACTTGCACTCTGTATTGAGAATG